CTGTGACATATGATCAAACGCGAGATTCTGTTTGTGGTTTAATGTAAAGGTATGTGATAATATATTAAATTAGTATTTCTACAATAAGTTCCGGGGGTACGACGCGTTGTTACGTGTGCGTATCTAGAGTATTTAAAGAGTATTTAGGTGCATTTAAAAATATCGTCCGAATGGGTTCAAAATTAAAATGTGGATAAAGCCGTCGTATTACGTGGTTTGGCTATTAAACAATGAGATTGCGCGCGCACAGAGCGTTCTAAAGAGGTTAGGGGAAAACCGAATACAGCGCTGGTTAGCTGGAAGTGTCTTTTATGCCAGTACAAAATTGGGTTTTTGTTGGTTCATTAGTATTTTTTCAGTAGCGTTTAGATTCGAACATGTTTTTTTCTCTTGCCGAAAACGATGTGTGACGAAAAACATGAGCAACGGATAAACGTAAAATTTTATCGTTAAACTAAAAAAAACTTCAATTGAGTGCTATAAGTTGTTAAAAGAGGCCAATAGTGAGGATTTCCTATCTCGGGCGCGTATTTTTGAGTGGCATAAATTATTTTCTGAAGGTCGAGAGTGCACCGGAATCCAATTCAGTCGTAATCCAAATACAAAACCGTTTTCTTCGATATCAACGGGATCGTGATGACTGAATGAGTTCCAGAGGGTCAAACTGTGAACCAACATTACTATTTGACAGTTTTTGCAACATTGCGCGAATAAGTTCATAAGAAACGGTCGATATTGTGGAAAAACAAGTCGTGGATCTTGCACCAGGATAAAGCGTGAAGCGTTATTTGGCCGCTTAAGGCACTCCAGTACTCAAACACGCGCCTTACTCACCCGACTTGGCACCCTGCGACTTTTACTTGTTTCCGAAGATAAAGTCTGCCTTAAAAGGAATCCGGTTTGAGTCGATGGAAGAGGTGAAGCAAAAATCGTTGGTTCTCCTGAATGGTTTTACGAAAACAGGCTTCCAGCACTGCCTCGAGCAATGGAAGAAACGAATGAAACGGTGTGTGAAGAGGTGAGGAGAGTATATTGAAGGGGAAAATTTGGTTGTGGAATTATTTTTAAAATAAAACTATTTTTCATAAGCAGTCTCGTTTTTTAATAGCCAGACCTCGTATAATGACGTCGTTATAAAGATCAAACAATTATAATAAAAACAATAATTGTTATTATTTGATCAAGGTTTCGGAACTTTTCTAGGGCGGATTTGTCGGTTGGGGTCGGCAGAATTTTATCAAGGAACACACAGTACCAGGAGAACATGAGGTTCTGTGTGCTTTGCGTCGGCGACGGTTGCCGCCGATGACTCGTCGCGGGAATATCGTCCGGCCGCCGACCGCTACGAATAGTCGCGGCAATATCGTCCGAGTCCTGCGCTCCTAGCACATAGAGGTCTATTTTGTACCTCATACGAAAACGTTAAAAATCCTTCGTACACATTATATCCGTATACGAACAAGATTTGGTATTTTTAAATGATACAGTTTAGAATACTCTAAAAAATTATTGTCAAATATAAATCGGTTAAGTTGATTTATAATATGTGGTAAAACAAAACATGTAATAAATAATTTGCATTTATTTGCAATTATCCATAAGTATTTTTTTAAAGCATTTGAATAGTACTAATAGTTTATACTACAACGCATTTTCTTTATTTTAATGCATTTTTCATAATGGTTTGTTTTTGGTCGTCGGTTACAGAGCCAGAATTCATTTTTTTTTTTAATATCATTTTGGTCTTTTAAAAAGCAAATAAAAACAAGCTGATCATTAATAAATCATTAATGATCATCACATGAATAACACCGCGTGTACGGGAAATAGGTAACCATCACAATAGAATATTAATTATCAATACGTTTTAAACTTGTTATATTTTAACCATAAATGGAATCTCTGTTTTATCGTGAGTTAAAGCTATTATATTGTATAGTCAATCTCGATAGTATAATCACACAATTTTCAAATTCCATATGAAATTATAATTTCAAAATTCAACTATAATAATGAATATGTATATATTTTTACTATCGCTTTCAAATAAAAATTTAAATATATTATTTAACAATTCGAAGTAAGTACCTATTTATTTTATAATTATGTACTAACAGTGGTGTATTGGGGCGAATACGGAGGTATACTTGTTTAGTTTTTTTTTTTTTTAGCGAATACATTTAGAATAGCGTACATTTAAAGAGTACTCTAAATGTACGGGAGTATAAGGCCGTATGGTCTCGTATACCTAGTAGAATGGTAGTATTTTTTGTATATTTTAATATGATATTAGTGTTCCTATAATAAGTTAGAACATGTGATATTCTTCGTTTATAATATGTACGTATGAAATTTTATTTCTGACCAGTAGAACATGAGGTTCGGTGTGCGTTGCGGCGGCGACGACTACCGTCGACGGCCCGACGCGGCCACAACGTCCAGGTCCTGCGCTCCTGGTACGTCGACGTCTCCTTCGGACCGCCTACGAATACATTGAAGATGCGTCGTACACATTATATTCGTATTATATTCGACGACTCGTTACGGGAATTATGTTCTGCTGTCGATACCTGCCACCCGTAGCGCCAATATCCTTCGTGCGCGGACCGTTACGAATAGCCCCGGCAACAACGTCCGAATCCTCCGCGCTCCTGGTACGTCGAAGACTGTCTTGTACCTCGTACGAATGCGTCGTCCGTGTTCGGAGGAACATTGTGTTCGTAGGCCGCGCGTTGGATACGAATATGTATCGTAAAAAAATATGCGACTACTGGTCGTACGACTCGTGTTCGCTTTTGTCAATAAAATATTCAGTATTTTGGTGATATACGAACAAGATTCGGTATTTTGTATAACTATACGAGACGTACGATCATTTAATAATCTTGAGAAGTATTATCTTTATTTGAAATATGTTTTATAAATCATTTTAAAATCATTAGCTCTATAATTCTGTATATGTGTTATTCTTTGTCACCCTTATTTTTGAGTGTAAAACCACTACCACTTTTCATTATCATTTGACGACACATAATACAAATTCCATAAATAGATGTATTTCTAGTGGAAATAAATTTAANAAAAAAAAAGAGAGAGAGAGCTCGGTCCATCAATGATTTTATATTTATTATAATTTTGTAACGTGAATTTTAGAATTTTAGAAATGGACTAGAGGGGGAAAACAAAAGTAGGAAAAGTGCTGAGATAAAATAAAAAAAAAAACAAAAATATTATAAATTCGGTAAATTTTAGGGGGTTTCTGGTTATTCTGACTGATATTACTGTTGTTGTTGCTGTTGTCGTTGTTGTCGCACGGCTCCTTCGTTCGCGATCCACCGCAGACCACAGTCGGTACGTCTAGCCCATCATGTTGGCGCCGAACATCATGACAAAAAAAGTGTGTTTTTCTTTTTGTTTTGAGACCCACTCGGCGCGGACAGTTTGGGCTTACGATGTCGTATCAATCCCACTGTCGAATCGTAACTGTAGGACGACGGTTGTCGGTGCCGATCTAAGGCGAACCGTAGATTATTTTACACGGGCTCGGGTCGGTTTTCGGTCGAACAAAGAATTACGTACTACATGGCTACGCGGACTGTAGAATAAAGACCGTGGTGCGGACAGTAGTTCGGAGGACGGCAGACCCCCGTACCCCGTTGGCGCGATCGAACGACGCGGAAACGATGGCACACTGGCCACTGCCAACTCGTGCATATTGTTATCAGCAACTGATGCACAAATTTTGCAACATTACAAGTCTAATGACATATAAATTATTAAAGAACAAAATATAATAATAATTAAATAATATACTTACTGTGCACGGTTTTCTGATGAGTGGCGAGATTACCTTTGATCATAAATTCTCTTGTACATTCAGCACGTGAAAATTTGAGGTTATTGTGATCATTCATATGACGTTTTAAATTATCCTGTCTGGTGAATGAACGAGAACAAACGATACATGCGAACATTTTTTCGAAAAGGCGTGTGAAATCACTTGGTGAACTGAAGGATAGTTGA